ATACTTGTGCATAACCCACTCAGTTCTTACGGGGCTCGTAGTTGTACGTAAATAGAACACATAAACCTTCTTTTCACCAATCTTGTCACGAACTCCTCTCCTGCGTTTGATATCCAAAGTAGGTCCTGTCTTTTTCCAGAACCCAGAACTCGTTTTTCTGCTCTGCATCCTCTGGTTCTCCAGACGAGAGAAGAAACACCACACGGAATCACCGCTCGTATCAATCCTCGACTGGACTGAAACCCGAGGAGGAAGGAAAAAAAAACATGATCCCAGGAACTTGGGACGATCTGATCACGAGTGAAGGAAAGTAGAGTGCTTACATCGCAGATCCCATGGATCGAAGCTCAGACAGTCCGAGAGTCTTGATATTGAGGTAATCGTCGATCAGCTCCTCATCGTACGGACGGAATCCGTATCCCACGATACCATCCATCTTCACACAGACCCCAGAATCAGAGGACTGAGAAAGATGTTGGGAAGAGGAAGAACTGCTTCGATGGTTTCAGCAAAGGGCTCTTTTGTTTTGGAGGGGAAGGAATCGGAGTAAATTCGAATAAAAGAAAAATACTTAAAATGTAAATATATATCGAGGGGCGTAGTAGATACGCTGGTAGGTGCAGAGGGTCCGCAGTGTAAGATCGTGTTTGCGAAAATTGCTTGACGTTTGTAGCAATTATGTGTACATATGTTTGATTTCAGTCTTGCCCCTTTGACAATTCCGAATGGAATGTTGAATTAATAAAACACTCAAATCTGTCCATTAATTTTGGGGGAACAGAGGGGACTTATGCGTCTGAAAAGATGATAATAATAACAATATTGACATTGTTCAGTTGGTCATATGATTCATGAATATGCAACTAAAGCAAAAGCATGATGGGACTTGGAAGATGATTAACTGAATCAAAAGATCCAAGTAACAGAGTGAGCACCATGGCAAACTTTTCTTTAGATGATTCTCTTGTCTCCAAAAACTATACGGATGACAAGAGGATTGGTTTCTGTTCCTTCATCTGTCCTGGCCGTATCTACAAACAAACATCGTGTGATTGTTGTGCTCAAAGGCATTTTAACTGGAGAGAGAACTCCGACAAGGCGAGAATTCGACGGTGAGGCGGGCATGGTCGGACAGAGTGTAGTTCTCCGGCCACATCCCTCTCTCGGCTTCCAGTGGAAACAGGACCGCCTTCTTCACTTCGAAACCTATCGCTTCTACAGATTCTGTACTCTCCTCCTCGAGGCTCTCTTGGCAGAACTCTGTCTGATCCACCGCCAATGTCATGTCCCAAATCCTCTGTTTATATGATTAACCACACCAATCCAATGAGGCTTTTAGGGTTTAGTTTTCGGGTCCAAATGTGGTCTTTCATTGGTCTTACCTTAAGTTCTTCGCAGTCAAGAAGGCCATTTCCATCAAGATCGGCTCCAAGCCACAGCTCTTTTGTGTCCTCGAAGCTCAGCCCGTAAGGAAGTCCCGTTATATTTACCTGTAACACAAGATATCCACACTGATGGGATGAATCTATATTCCTAACATTTGTACAAGTTCACAGATCTTCTTGGGCCCTTTTTTTTTAATTATTTCCACAGAGAAACGAAGTTCACCTTCTGAAGGACCTCACAAAAGTCAGGGTAAGTCACAGGATCGCTGTTACTGCCCCTTAGAGACGCGAAGGCATTGTCCTCAGTAATAGAAGCTTTTTGGAGTTGATACTGTAACCAACCGTAGAAACAAAAAATCTGCCGTTTTGAGTTAAAAAGGCATGAAAATAAAAATATCAGCTGAAAAAAAAGCCTGTAAAGAATGGGGCATGCCGTGTACGACTTGGTTCAAAGTTCAAACCAGCCAAAGATTCGGCTGTCTCAATCACAAAAAGGTTGTATCTACACGATGTAGATAATGACCATATAATTCGGTATGTGGGTCATATCTCAAGATATTATTAACTTCCGCGTTGAATTCGGATGCCTCGATTTAGATACAAACTGGGTCCAGGTGAGGGGAACCAAGGCGCAATTAACGGAGGTAGAATCCAATCCAGGGATCCATTTGACTAAAATGGAATTCCAAGAGCCATTTGATTTGAATTTATATGTAATTAGTCAAACATCAGTAAATGGGGAAGAATATTGGAAAGGGAATATAAATGACTAATGTTTGTTAGTACTCTGTAAGCTTCTATATCAAGCCAAATTATCATATGAATAAAACATCAGTTATTTTGGCATCGAGGGAGGTGTAAGTAAACTTACGGGTTTCTGTCACATTCCAAACTAGAGATAAACCAAACTGAATTATGTGACATCAATGGAAAATCTAACCTTGATTATGCCGAAAACTGCCTCAGCCCAACTTGTTTTCAATGGTTTTCTTGGCTTGCTGGGGTTACGAAGCCATATGAAGTCGACTCCGCATATGTCCCCTCTGTGGTTTCTGTGGCTAACCCACTGAAAAGAAATGGGAGAAGGACTTTATGCATGGACAAGGCTATCAAAGATACATGTACTGAATAGGAGGCAAGACAAGAGAAAAGTATCTAAGAAATCTACCCTGTGAGAATCTGCATCACTGTCAGTGTATTGGTGTGCAATATCATATGACGATACAAACCCCTGAGACCTCAGGAATTTGTAGACATGTCCACGTTTGCTTCCATTCCAATCACTGCGATAACATAGTACAGAGTCAGAGATTACATTGCGTGCTTGGAGGGACATAACTTGACAGAAAGAGAGACCAAAAGCTCACCCGCAGAGAATAATGGGCATGTTGTTAAGTTTATTTTCCTTTTGGTATGTCTCCAGATATTCAAGGATTTTGTAGACCTGTCAGAGGAGCCGAGATAACAGAATTAGAAATTGCTAGGCAGTTAAGCCTCAAGATCTCGTTGAAATGGTATAGGTAAGCAAAATTCTGGAAAGAAAGGTGTACCTGATGCAATCTCACAATCGACAAACTAGAATCGTGAGGAAACAACAGATGGGTGTTCACTATAAGAATCTCTTGTTGAACCTTCTCATTTCCATTAAGCATAACAGGAATAACAGATTGGACATGCAAGAGCTGTGCAACACGGTCTCCAAAGTCGTTAAAGAGCAGCTCCCCATAATTCACAACTTCAAAGTAGTCCTTGTGAATGGCAGTTAAAAGACCTGTAAGGAGTAATGCAAACCCTCCAGTCAGACAGCTTGGAAGAGTAAACCTGAAGAACATGGCGGCCAGTCAAATACAGGATGTCCAAACCTATAGCATAGAATTTGACATTGGAGGGGGTCCTTACATCCACTCCACCCCACCCACCATCAAACAGTCATTGAGAATAAGGTTGCCGCTTATACGACAGCCTACAAACAACGGTGTCGAATATTATAGCAACAGCAACGAGCAACCCGACATATGCATCTTTCCTAGTGAAGACGTGATAGTACTAGTTTAGAACCCAATACCCTTTAACAGGAGCATATCGAGCAACACTAAGCTATGGTTTTAGAAATGGCTACTTTGCAGAGTGCTAAGTAGACACCTTTAGATTTTGGTCCTTATGAGAAGGAAAGATTTAAAGATAACAAGTCAGAAATAACCACAAAGACACGCATGGTTTCCCTCCTAACTACAGCTTGAGCCAATTGCAGCAGAAGAACAAGAAGAAACTTACCATCTCCACGCCCATTCGTCCTGGCTAGCTGAAAAGTAGTGTAACCTGCATTGCCCAGCCTCTCCTTGTACATTTGCACTAATTCTTCATTCCCAACCCAGAATTCCTAATAACAAAGCATTTGCATTAGGAGGGTTAAGTCAACAAAGATCACAAACCCACAAAGAGCTTTTCAATTTCAACTTTTGGGACTTCGTATTGACTTACATAGAAAAGGCACAAGAGATAGCACTTTCATGAAAATTACCTGGAGACAGATAACCGAAGACTGATCATGGAGTAACCAATCCAAAATCATCTGGTTCCTAGTGAACCACCTGGGGCGAAAATCACTCTCTCGAATACTCTGGTTCTGTTTCAAGTTCCGGTGAAAAAAAAAACCCGCATCCATAGTTGAATTCACTTACAAACAATCGAACAAGAAAATTCTTCAACGGAATCAACAAAGCATACAATCAGGAAACGGAACGGAAGCGAGAAAAACAAACCTGTTGATCGAGCCGCTTATAAATAGGAGCTAGGATATTGAAAGTAGTACAAGAAACACTCGGTTCCGCCATTGTAGCTACACTCGAGTTCAGTCTCTGCACACCACAATCGCCATAAACGCCATCGTCACCATCATCAGATCTCAAACAATACTAAAAAATTAAACAAGGAAAAGAACCAGAAGCTCGAAGTCAAAAATCATGCACCATATCGAAATCTGGCTTGTTCCGTAGGGACAACGAAGACAGTGAACCGAAGAAGTAGATGGACAGAGGAATCGCAGGGAGGAATAAGAAACGGAGGAGGAGTAGAGGTGGGAAAAGGACGGAAGAATCTGGACCGTAGGATTACGGTGGGGCTGCAATTGGTATGATTGGAACTGAAATATTCGACCTATTTCTTTCTTTTTTTAAATCCCACAGGTTTATTATATATATATATATATATATATATATATATTTGAGAATGTCAAGATACTCCAAATCTAATTCGTCAGAATTCTATTATGTTTAATTTTCTAGACTGAATTATTTTATTTATTACGTAATTATGTTGTTATTTGAAAATAATAAAATAAACTTACGAGGAGCACAATGTCGGCAGAGGAGAAGAAACCGCGTCCTTGTAAGGTGTCGGTTGTCTGCCACTAACGGTCCGTACCAATCAATTCTAATTTCTGTGTGCGGAGCGGAACCGTTAGTTTGATATACCTCCTCAATGATTCGGACAGTTACTGTTTTATTCAACTAATCTTGGATTATATTATCCAAGGATCACGGTGATGTTTTTTTATTTGTTTTATGAGAACAAAGCCCACGAGATCTTTGTATTGGAAATGGGCTTGTGGGCCGAATATCACATGTAAGCCCGCCCACTTGGATCCAGCCCAAATATATATTGGACCCTACCTACTTTTATGCAGAACAGATTGCACCAATGTTAGTTGACCTTGGTTCCCTATCTTCAAGGGTCAGTCTAATTACTGGTTAGGTTTATCTTAAGAAAGAAAAAAAAAAACGAATGAATAAAACATATCTGCTTAAGAAAGTCTTAGGTTACGATAGGCTTTTGTCTAAATTTAAAACAGTGGAATATCAGTAGACATCAACAATCATCACCCACCAAACTGCTATTTCCCTTAGAAATCAAGTTTCTTACACAAGCCCTTGTAGCCTAAACTGGTATAATATCCCTTCAACCACCCTTTCCGATTATGATTTTTCTTTTGGGTTCCTGAATAAATGGTTTGCAAGGCATGGGGGAGTTCAGATTCAACTTTGCCCCCTTTTTTTTTTAACGTTTCAACAACTTTTACCAAAGGTTATGGTTCTTGATTTTGGTTAATGGGTCTAATGTAAGAAGGAAACTAAACTACTACGGATCCCGATTATTAGTAACCCAGGACAGAAAATTATCCTAATCCCCGAAAAACAAAAAGATTCGCTAAGCAAAGACAAGAGAATGATTTTAACTAGAGAAGCATATTTTAATAGCAAGAGAAATTGAAAAAAAAAAGAAAAGCTTAGCAATAAATATTCTAAGATAGTTAGCATTCAGATGGTGTTTCATTATCCAATTCGCCTGCAGCACAAGCATCTAAACCGGACAATGAAAGGGAATCCACCATGAATACTTATTTTAGCTTGCAAGAAACCCTACAAGAAAACAGCAAACACAAGGGGGAAAAAAACCCAAGAATTTTGGGAAAACCCTGGAATGATGAGCTCTAAATGGGAAATGGAGGATTCTCAGTTGACATTCTTCAAATGCACAAGGTGGCAGCTTGAAGAAACCCTAGATCCCATCAACTGCCCTTTCCACTATTTCTGCGACAGCATCTACGCCGGCGACTACCCTCCCATCACAGACATTCTTGTTTTCTTTTTCGTTTCGTTTGCTTATATGGCTACTCTAATCATAATCATCACTTCAACTGTACTATCAAGAAGAGAGAATAAAGCCAAGAGGTACTTACTTCCATCTGGTCCCATCTTTCTTCCCGTCATCCTCCTCATCCTTGCAAAGGGTCAAAGGATCAACACCCTTTTCCCAGTTTCCAGCTTCGGCCCAGCCATTCTCCAGCTGGTTCAAGTCTCTGCACTTGTGTTCAAAAACAAGATAGATAAAGAAGTAAACTATGTGTTCTTCGAAGCATCAACTATTTCCGGGGTTCTTCATGCCAGCTTGTACTTAGACGCAGTGATTCTCCCTTATTACACCGGCTTTGATGCTTTGATCGCATCTACCTTCTCCAGTGTCTGCAAGTCCTGCATCTGCAGACAAGAAGCTTTGGTGGTCGGAGGGAAGTTTGTTGCTTACCGGGCATGGTCAACCACAACGTTCCTCGTCGTAGGAGTTCTCTGCATGAGAATTATGTGCAGGCTATGCAGAGATGAAGCACAGAAAAAGAGGATCTTTCTGATCAGAATTACAGTGGAGGGCTTGGCTTGGGTTTCACTGATAAGAGACGGTGTTTACCTGGCCGTCAGATCTCCTGTTGATGAGCTGATGCTGTTTAGGGTTTACGTTTTCGGTTCTGTTCTTTTGTTGATTTGTTTGCATGTAATTGCAAAGTTATGTTGCTTGGTCTCTAAGAGGGAGAGACAGAGTGCAAACACACGCATTTAACATGTCAGGGCAAACAAAATGTAGAGAGCAAAACAAAGTTAGAGGTAGAGGAAGCAAATGTATATTATAAGATGGGGATATCTGGATTCTTCATTGAAAACAAGTGTATAATTTAGAAGAGTTTTTCCGATCAAGGTCGGCATAATTGGTCGGATTGCCTTTTGCCACATAAAAAATCGGTTTACAAGGATCAAGTTGTAATGAACAACCAATGTCATTTCTCCATCGGCAATCAAGAGCATGCTTCATTGAAGAACCCATCCTCTATAAGAAAAGAAGAAAGGAAATTACTTGCGAAAAAACCAACGTCTCCAATCATAAGAAGAACCTCCTCCTGCTGGTGTCCATTTCAGGCTGAGATTGGCAAACAAGACAGAATGTTTAAGGTTAATGGTACTTTTCAAGATAGTCCATAAAATGTAGTGTTATATCAAGGCGATTACCTTATGAACCCATTCATATTCTCCACCTTTGGTGTCAAAAGTCCCATGCTGTAAACTTATCAGCTTGAGTGTGAATCGAGGACCACATTCCTGTGCAAAATTTTTTGACCAACAAAAGGTTTTTATGTTGCTTTGAACCAAGAATTTTCAAAAGACAGAGAAAACTTGCCCATCACGTTTTCTGGTGTTGCGAATGTAACCAGAAAATGTCACACGCAAAAGCAGGCGGTAAAAAATGTATGCTGACCTGAAGGCGAGCTATTACTTTTTCTCGAGCTATGCCATCCTTTTCGTTTTTATCACCAGCACCCTTGCCTTTTGATTCGTTTTGCTTACTTTCCTTGGTCTCAAAAATGTAACTGAACAAAACGCATTATTAGAAATGAGTTTTCCCAGGGTGGGATATTAGCAGCTACACTTCGAGCAACGCAAAATGCATACCGGTGATGTCGGAAAAATATGAAATCCCGTTGGTTGTGAAATGTTACAACTCTCCGCCCACGGAAATTCGGATCTTGAGGGAAGAGTGATCGTATCATTCTGGAAAATTAGAAATCAAGATCGAGTCCATGTGGGTCACATCCTTGCAGCATTAAAGTCAAGAATAGATCTACAGTGACGTCAAACTTTGAAAGTTTTGGCTACCTTGCAACACGATGACCCAAACGTGTCGTGAAACTATTTAACACGAGCTCTGGTTCATGGCTTGTAGGATTCCCATGATTCTGCATTGTAATAAAAATTCACAGCTTAAAAGTTAAAACTAAACAAATAGAAACATACACAAGGTAAACAACTTTTAAATTCAGTGTTTACCTTCAGCTAAGCTCATAACAATAAACCCTCAGAGAAGAAATGCTTATACCTTTATATCCTTCCGTAGAACAAGATTTGATAATTTGAAATGAGCAGTAGGACCATCTGGCAAGCCAATGATAAGGAGAGCATCTGCATATTAACAACAAAATTTATGAATAGAAGACTTCACAAACCTGTACAGAGATGATCATACAAAACAGATACGTGGATATAAAGGTGTACGTACGAAATATGGAGTAAACCTAACCTGGTTCCCTGCGGTTCGTGTGAACTACAACCAGAGATGTGAAATCCTTCTTCCTCGCATATTCTACAATCTACAGAACGTTAGAACAAATGATTAGCCTCACATGAAACTTAGTGGTTCTAATGTATTATGGGGAAACACGCAAAGACAGACCACCTTTTTCAGATCATACGTTCCTCTCTTGTGATAATGGGAATTTGGGATCACCGAGAGTAACTCTGATACAAATGCAGGCCCCCTCTGCAACAAAACGAATCGGGAATGGTTAAAAACAAAATCTTTACAGATCTCCTCGTGCCAGGCATTATCAGATACGGCTGATGAGCAAAAGCTTACAGTAGAATTGAAACGACATGTTGTGATCAAGATCTTCGGTGTAACCTCACGCCCCAGGATTGGACGAAATTCATCCCCATCAATATCAGCAAAAAGCTGCAAATCAAAACACCATCAAAATTCAGTGACGCGATATGCTTACAACGTATTGAAGCCAAACCATGTGATGAATCAAATTACACACACCAAAAACTAGTAGAAGATACCTCTTCGTCATCGGGTCTGCAAACAGTCTCGTCTAGCTCTCGAGTATTCTCAATCGTCCGAGGGATCATCCTCTCTGGCGGCTGCACGAGAAAACGAGAACTCGAAACCTCTGATCAAAATCAACAAATTATAAACGAAACGCAGAAGCTCTAATTTCTTCAGTTCTATACCTCCTCGCCGAGTTCAACAGCTCGCTTCTCCGCGGCGTCACGAGATCTAATCTTCTTCTTCTTCTCGACTTTCTTCTCGTGCCTGAGCTTCGCGTACACTTGAGATCTCTTCTCCTTGTTCTTTATCATCGACGGAAGTATCTCTTGCTTCTGCTTCTTCTTCTTATCCTCCTCCCTACTGGTACCAGATTCCCCGCGGTCTTCATATTCCATAGCTTCACCGTCACTCTTCCTCCTTTTCCCCATTTTCCGACCGACGAAACCTCTGCCTACTGGCTGATCGATGAATACGGACGAAGACGAAGGTGAACGTTAGGGTTTATGAAACCAGAGGAGCAAAATCCAGGGCTTTTATTATTTGGGCTTGGGCTTAGAATTCTTAAAAAAAAAAATCAGTGATCCGTCCAGTAAAAGCCAAACTACGCCGTTTTATATATGGTGCTGATTGGAACGACATCGTTTGAAAAGAACGACAACGACCGTTAAAAGGAAAATACAAGAACTTCGTCACAACATTCGTCAATGGCAGTATAACACCAAAAAAAAAGCAACTGTGTTGTTTGAAATCAGAAAAGGCCGAGGAGCATAGAGAAGGCAAGCAAAATGAGCCAGACGATGTGGATCAAAAGCAAAGCTTGGCCCGGAACCGACAGCCTAACTCCGTTTCCGACATCGCATGCCCCTCGTTTCGAAACGCGAGCGCCACTGCACAATGCGTCCGCACAACCGCACCAGTACGTGACGCCGTCTTCGCCGCAGACCGGGTCGACCCTGAAACACTTAACCGGGCACGAACCCGGTTCAACCTTCCCCTCGCAGAATCCGCCGTCGCTCCTCTCCGAGGGTAACCGGATTTTTCCTCCCAACGCGGAATCCGCAGAAATCAGACATAGATTCAGAAGAGGCAGGAGAAGAAGAAGAAACGGGATAACGGCTAATGACGGTGAAAACGTCGACATTTGTGATTTGCTCTCTGCGTAGGAAAAAGATTTGAATAATTCTTGACGGGTACTGCCTTTCCTCTCTGTTCAAGAAAGGAAAAGAAATAAGATTTTCGGCCTTTTTTTTATCAAGAAAACTTTTCTTTTATAGAAATCCACAAAATATTCACATTTGAAATAATTCCCTCTCCGTTCAAGAAAGGAAAAGATTAAAGATTTCGCCTTTTGACAGGTCAAGAAAATCTTCTTTTATAGAAATCGGAATCTTATTCCACAAAATAATCATATTTGTGTGTGTGTAGGATCGGTTCCCAAACTCAACGGCCCGTGTGTCCAGTGCTGTCTTAAGAGAACTACGCGCCGGCATCTGGCCAGATACATGAACTTCTCGCTGTTTGTTTTACCCGCGGAGGAGGAAACTGCACGTCGTTTCCTTCACGGCTACCCATCCGACACACACGCCAAGAAACTAAAAGAAAAGACAGAACTACGTGCAGGAGTTCCATTAGACACATGAACTTCCCGCTGTTTATTTCACAACGGATAAGTGAACGACACGTAGTATCCTGTCCTAGTGACCATCATATAGAAGCTTGAAACCATTACTAACTCATGCTATCATCCAGTCAGAGACACGAGCTGCTACTTTGAACAGCCACAGAATCAAAATTATCTGGAAGAACTAAAATCACATTTGTCTTAAGGAAAACCACAGATAGATAAAAGCCGGATCAAGAGATAACTCTTCATTCTACTTGACAGAAACCGGGTTCTGCAGAGCTCTTACAGGGGCCTTCCGCTCGTCCTGATATCATTTCTGATCGCTTTCTGAATCATTTTAACGATGAAGTACTGCAAATGCGGAGAATCTGATTATGCTCTGAATCGAATGAAACATTAAGCAATGGGTCTGTGCAGGATTCTCTCATGGAATGATATTTACCTGAACACCTATGATGAGAGGGATGAGCTTCTTTCCTCTGTCGTCAGAGTAAGACCCATCTACCATTTTCTGGTCAATCAGAATAGCTTTCTTCTGATTCGTTGCTACATCGGTTATTGTCTTAACCAAGTTCTGAATCCACACTTCACCGTTTGGCAGAACCTGAACCCACATCAAAGAAGCAATTATGACTTCAGCCACTTACTCGCAATCGTTATCAAAGTCGAGGATTGAAAGATTCTTACTTTTTCTTCCTTCTCGTTCTTGTTGCATCTTCCGCTGTTCTCAGCAAAGACAACAGGAACGGGAAACTCCTGCAAAGCAAGCAGGCAAGCGAAAGTATGAGAGATCATCATAACAGTTTGAAAGGGTGAATATTTCATACCAAAAAAAAAAAATCAGTCGTCATAAAAGTGATCCAACATGGGTATCATATCACTACCTCAAACTCGTGTTTCCTTATCTTAGCGCCTGCCCGGATAGTTTTGAGGAGAGATTCTGATCTCGTGGAGGAGAAAGCTTCGTAGGAAAGTTCGTCAGGAGGGGAGAATTGAGCATGAGTCAAAACAAGCAAACTCTTGCTCCATATTTCCTTCCCAAAACTTTGGCTGATAGCTCTAACAACCTGCTTATCCATCTCATCGACTCTATACACATCCAAACGATCAACATAGAGCATGACATCTATGGTCTTGTTCACGAGGAACCTGTAGAAGAAGATCTCGTATGTAATAAAAGGCGGCAGCAATAAAACTAAAGGGAGTCATACCCATCAATCTACAGACCTAGTTAACCATAAAAGGTAACACCTTTGCGGAGAAAAATATCAACTAGAGCGTTTACCACAACCACAATGAAATGAATTCCTGATAAAATGAGCAGAATAAGCGCTAACCCTTTGATTAACTCGAGGGCTTGATGATTAACATATCCAGCCTCCACAAGTCCAGGGGTATCGATAATATTAATGGTGAATCCTCCCATTGTTCGTGAAACCATTACCGGCCTCAGCCCCTCAGCCTGCAAAATCGAATAATATCAATATCTCCGCTTCTCAGTTCCACGAAACTAGCGAAGTGGAAACTAATGAGTACCTGAAAAGGACTGACTCTGACCACTTGTTCCCCAATCAGAGAATTGACAGTGGAAGATTTCCCAACACCGCCTTTTCCCAGAACAAGAACCGTCATAGTGTTCATGTTCTGCAATTTCCGAATACATCACCGTGATTACAACCGAAAAAACCCGACAAAAGGCAATAATTCTCAAACATGAAGGCGGGGATTTCGATGAAATTGTCCCCAGAAAACAAGAGGAAGGAGATAAAGGGCGAACCTTTTGCTTCAGTTTGGAGAAGAATTCGACCAGCTTTTCCTGGGTAGCCGCCGGGAACTGCTGAAACCCGACCCATTCACGAACAATAGAACCCATTGCCTTCTGTAAAACCGAACAAAGATGAAAATTTTCCACGAAGTAATGGATAAAGTGAGGTTCTGCCTAAAACCCTAAATCCAAGAGGGGGATGAGAACGTACCTGAGTTCGTCTCTCCGTGAACTTGTGTGGTTTTGGGTTTCGTTTGAAGAAGATGACCGAAGATGACCTTATCGCCACTCTTGTGTTTTTATATTCTCTCCCCTCCGCAGGGAGTGACCCCGATTTACCACATCAAATTTTCACCTTCTGAATGTTCAATTTTCCACATTTTCGCACTTGGTAAAAAAAAAAGTTGGTAACTTTTATGTTTGTAGTAAAAAAAAAATTCAGGACTTCGGTTTGGTACACTTTAAAGTTGAATTATTTTTTTTATTGGAACTCTATAAGATTGGGAACTTGTTTCCGAATTTCATTTACAAAAATATTAACTAATACAAAACTCCCGTAAAAAAATTACATGTATGAGCGAACTTCGAAATAGCACATCGTTCGTGAGTGAAATGCGACTTACACTTTCTTGTCAATAAGAGATTAGTATTAAACCCACAAGAAATTATGGTTAATAAGCTTAACCATCGAACACTCTGCTTGGTTCAAGTCCGGTTCTGCTCAAACCAGTCCATTAACCAACAAAATTGGTTTGACAATTGACATCCGTACGGCAGAAATGCAAAACCTAAAATGTAGGTTCATCTGCAACAATATAGTTTAAACAAAGAACATAAATTAGTATACATGTGGCCTGGTTTATGTATGTAACAACGTGTCAAAGAACGGCAATTCTCACCATCACCATCATCTTGTTGGTTGTAATCGTCATCATCATCGTCAAAGTCCACATTCTGCAACATTGAAACCAAAAGTAAATCCCTTCCCTAGGAAATATGTGTTGTGAAGGAACTCACTGATACCAGAAATGATGCATATATATACGCATATATACGTGTAAAGATATAAGTATAACCTGGTTATAGTCCCCGTCATCACTGTATTCAGCCTCATCTTCCTCTGGTTCTTCTTCTGCTTCTTCACCCACTTCATCTTCCTTGCCAGATTTCTGCCAACAAGAATAATTAAAGACACTGCAATGAAATTCTATAGACTAGCAAAATGAGACATTTTGCTCTTCGATCGATTCGCAGAAAAAGAGAATGAGCACTGCAGTTGGTTACCTTGTACTTCTCTTCAAGCTTCTCGAAAATGTCCAACTTCTTGATATCTGCCATATAAACAACAGCGTTTCTTGAAAAAATGGTCCATGGTTGATGTTTCAACATGACCCAGTAAATGAACAATAGAGAAACTATTGATGAGAAGATCAAATTTTAAGAAATGGAGAGCATATATAAACAAAAAAGATTATTTGCCCAATATATATAGCTCAGTTTCAGATGATCTCAACTCCGAATAACTCCCGAAAGAAGGCGGCTTAAACTCAAAAAAGCGAAACTATAAAAACCAAACCTGCTTCCTGACTCCACCGTGCCTTCTTGACGGGCCGTTCTCTTCTGGAATCTGGCATTTCATCAAATATATCAGAGGAGTTTGCTCAATGGCACCAATTCAATGAATGGAGGGGAACTAGGCAACGTATATACTGGGAGGAAAATGTTTGAGATTCAAACCTCCAAGAAGTTCTTTAGGGAAGTTATCGGGTCTCAGAATCAGATAATCATAGAAGGATCCACGCTTAGACTTGCTCTTTGGCTTCGACCAGTCCGAATACCTCTCTATGTCGACACTCACGTTCTCTGAAACAATGGTTCAAACAGAAGATGGAGGCCTTAAAAATCGTGGCATTTAAAGACAGAGTACAAGAAAACTTTGGAGCATACAGTAGTACCCTTCTTTGAAACGCCATCTCCCAGATAGTAAGGAGAGTTTCTCCAGAACTTCTCGAACTTAAAGTAACCCGCAACTAATTCCGGGTCGGTTGTGATAGCTTTCCGGTCAGGTAACTCAATTTCCTGCACAAATCGTCATTTTCTCGAGCAAATGAAATATACTTCTGCGTAAACTACAAGACCAATTCAACTATTTCCCGAGTTAAGAGGAGTATTTTGGGCAATAATTTGCAGATTATATGAGCTAATAGAGGCTACTGAAGACATTATGAGAGTGGGAGAAGCTACTTACGGGGAAAAGCTCAAAGGGCTCTTGCTTCGCATAGCCAAAGCCACCGCCACGGCCTCCAAATCCCCGTCCTCGTCCTCGACCCCTGAAGGCCATCTACAAATGGAAGAGTGTTGATGCGTTTTGTTCGTAGCAAGGGCATGGATTGATAAATGTTACACAGCCGATCGAACAGGGTAAAAAAGAGGCAGTGAAACAACTCCGATTTTCCCGGTGGTTTTCGCGGCAAAGAAAGCCTACACCGGCGAGATAGTCCAGGATTCTTAGTCCCCCCCCCCCCCC